TTATTAAAATTATTTTACGATAGTAAAAAATAAACTAATTTATGTTAAATTTACCAATAGCGAGTGGCACTGACAACTACGCCAAATGGTAGATATTGGAGCTACTGTGGAAAACACTAATATTGAGCACTTAAAGACCATTAAATAAGACGACAACACAAACACGGATGTTTTCATGTTTCATTCTCTAGGATTTATAATGATTATATTAACATTTACTGTAAATATACATATTTTAATATGATTTTGTGCACTTTAACGCTTTTCTAGTGATATTACGACTTCAATATTTGTGGCGGACGGATGTAAAGTCAAATAAAATTATTTAAACTTGATTTTTATTTTTCCATATATTTCTTGACAAACAATGTATAATTGAGAACGACGTAACTTGAGGTATACCTGTAATGATAAGAGCTAATGTTAAATAAAGAGAGAGATGATGATGATGAGCGTGCAAAAGTAATGTGGAATAAATATGTGGTGCTATTACTATTGTAAGATTTCTGACAGTTTGCATACTCTAGTGGTTTGATGGGTAAAAGAAGTTTTACTTTCATTATAAATTTTTTATATCACAAAAAGTTTAACAAAAGTATCATGTGTATTAATAAATGAAATTTTACCAATATGAAGTAAAATACAATGTGTGCACAAATTATTGGATGATTTCATAAGATTTTACAGGTATTTTCACTATTACTGAACAGAAATACATGCTATTATCACCATTTGAAAGGGGGTTATTTGCAGTTTTGTACTGATTTAAATGTATTGGATGTGTGTGCCATGTGTCACGGTAGATGTCTAGATGTACTTCCAACTTTCTCAAGAATGTCTTGTGTGATGACCTTATGGCAGTCTGAATGCACTATTTCAATTTTGGCAACATCATTGGAAGTGAAGGGACAAATATTTCCCTTGACATTTCCTTAACCCCATAGGAAGAAATTGCACACTGTGATATCTAGTGACCAGGGTGGACACACACCTGATGGCAATGTGAACGCACTGTCATCAGGTCATCACACAAGACATTCTTGAGAAGATTAGGTGAGAATGGGAGTACCGTCTGGTCATCTGCTGTGTCACATGTGGGGCACATATTGAATGCATTTAAGGTGAGTACAAAACTGTAAATATCTCTCTTTCAAATGATGGTAATATCATGTATTTCTGTTTAATATGAGTGAAAATACTGTATAATCTTATGAAATCGTCCAATAGTTTGTGCACTTCTTATACTTCTTAAAACAGTATACAGTAAAACCTCATTATTTTGAAACTCAATGGACCAAAAAAACATGATTGAATTATCTGAACTTTTTTCAATCAAATTTTTTTGTAATTCCTGCATAAAATTATGATTTTATATTATATAATTTCACCAGTTTGGTTATAAATACATTAATTTTATGAGTTATTACTTAGTAATTTAAGATATTTCGAAAAAACGTCACTCAGCGTTTACAGTGTCTAATGAAAACAAAACTATATTCAAAGTAAGAATGAAAATAACATATAAAAGAACCTTAAGTGCTTTGATAAAAATTACTCATGAATTTTATCTAGAGGATCAATGGTTAGTTCTATAAAGAATTTACCTGAGTTTGAGATTATAAAATTATGTGATCTGATGAAAACAATCTGTATTAATGGCTAGGGCTGTGTGTGCATTCTATACTGAATATGCGCATGTATTTAATGGACTTTGGAATTATTGAAACAATAGATTTTTGCAAAAAAATATCCAAAATAATTAAATGCCAAACAAATTTCTTCCGTTAAAATAATAAAAAACTTTCTTCATTGGCAACGTATACAATATCCAAATGATCTTGAACAGATGTCTAATAAATCAACATGTAATTGATAAAACTGAAAACGAAACTTCCACTTGGTCATGGAAGCTTTCCTTATAAATATGTAATATGATGAAAGATTTCAAATTAAATGATATTTTTGCAGATCACTGAACTGGGTCACTTCAGATTTTATTGTATGCATATTTCAAATTATCTGAACTAAAATACAGTGGAACCTCAGTATATGACCTTAATCTGTTCCCGATGTTTGGACTTATATCAAATTGGACGTATACCAAACCAACCTTTCCCAAAGTAATGTAAAAATGATTAATCCGTTCTCGTGTAAAAAAAATGGCTGGCTTTAAACACCTCGCTTTCCTGGCTAGTTCCTGCTTGATTTTTCATGAGATCAGTATGTATCTTTTTAGCTTTCTTGCAAATAATTGCTTCTGATACGCTGTCGCCAGCACACTGTTTTACAGTTATCCAAAGCAAAAGCAATTTCTCAACATGATCTAATGTCTTCGATCTCTGTTTAGAAATTGATTTAACCCCTTTCGCAACGTTAGCAGATTTAATAATGTCTTTATTTTTCGCAATTGTCCATATCGTCATTCTCGGAATACGGTAGGCAACAGTTAAAATCTTGAACACGCGTGCCACCTTTGTAAGGTGCTGTGCCACCTCAACAATCTCTTTTATCAGTTCCATTGCAATTCTAGTCATTTTTTTTAGTTTTCTATCGCTTTTCATTTGCCTTTTTGCGATTCATGATTAATAAAAATAATAAAATTTTACTTACGAATTAAAATCAGAAGAAATTTAACAAAGTTATAAACCGTTGCACCGCGTCTAGTCTGGTCTAGTACACCGATAGTGCTACTTGTTCATTGATGGGTGTATAATTGAATTATGTCATATACCGAGCAAAATTTGTTTTGTCCAAACAGGATGTATTCCGAATTGGACGTATTCTAAAGCAGACGTATACCGAGGTACCACTGTATATGCAAAATCCTATTCTCTTGGCTTAGGACTAGACTTGACTTCAAATTACATGATACTTTGAATTATCTGATATTGAAATAATGAGGTTATACTATAGGTAGCAGATAAAATATTACTACTATATAACATTTATTTATTCACCAAGACTGTGGAGTTCATAAAAAAACACTCGATTCCAACTCCTGATAATTTTAATAGGCTGACTCCAATGCCAATCCTGCCCTGAATGTGGGTCAATAACCCAAAATATATTGAGTTTTATCCAAACTTTTGTAAATATTTTATTTTCTGAGAAATATAACAAAAACTCTCCTTAATTGTAAAGAAGAATTTGTTTAATTAATTAATATATGTTATCTTATCTTTATTCATCTTTATCTCTGTCTCTGTTTTGTTGTTGACTTATGTATGGTTCTAACGTACTGAATAGCATGAGAAACTTCATACAAATAAACCACCTTTGTCAATTTTCCAATTTAAACCATTGCCTGAGACCCCAGTTTATTTACCTGAGAGTCTTCATATCAAGAAACTGCATTTTGCCAATTTCCAATAGTAAACTTGAAAAATTTTTCTGTAAAAAACAAAACAAAAAAAAAAAGAGAGAGAGAAATGTCAGAGTTGATACATTATTCCTGATTCTGACTCCAACTCCTCTGGCCAGAATTTTTTTTTACTCTGACTCCACAGCTCTGTATTGCACACAGTAAAATTCTCATTTGTGTTTATAATGGTTTGGTAATATTTTTTATGCATCAGCCTGTTTAACTCATTAACTTAGGTGGTTACTGTATTTTATTTTTAATATATATACATACATACATAAAAAAAACAACAACAACCTAAGTTAAAATTTAAATAAGTATAAGCTAAAATATTAATATACTATATATTTTAATAATAAAATTAAGATTTTTGGCAGCTACAAAAGTTATAAAATTTCCAATCTTTCCACAGTGTCTGTTATGGAACATTTGTTTGGAACCTATAATAAATTTTTACTTTGATATCTTAAAATAACTGTTTTAGTTATAAATATAAAATGTTTTTTTTTTTTAATGTGACAAGCTATAAAATTATATTAACAATGTTATTTGATTTGATTAATAATTGTGCCGCTCACTTGCCGAATCGATTAACTCCATAAAACAAAAAGTGGAGAAAAGTGACAAAGCAATATATGTTGTTTTTTAAAATTTTTTGTAAAATATAAATTCAAATAAACATTGTAGAATGTATTATTGTGGATGTAGCTTTTATTTAATGACATAAAATGTATAAGATTACATAGCTATGCTATCATCGTTATTATCTTTACGATTTTGGTGTGATTGAGGGACTTAATAGATTTGACAGTTGAAAAATGTAATAACATCAAATTCAGTCTTCACATTAGGATACATTTTTTATTAAAGATTTTTGCAAAAATGAATAACTATTCTGTTACAATGGTTGTTGTTATTTTGTTTAAATTGATTATTCAGCAACATAAATGATGTCTTCTTTGTCAGCTATATTTGAGGTCTCATTGTGTCGATTTCTTCTTAAATTTTTATAAGAATCGTGTTTAATAGGAGGAATGAAAAAAATTATTTTTAGTTTTATCTGTCTTGATATAACAGGTATAACTTTTCTTTTTTTCTAAAAAAATTGTCACCAAAATTAAAACAATTATTTAATATTCCATAAGTATACTTCTGTGACAGTTGGACTGTAACTAACTAATTTCTTTTACTTACTTTTTGTGATGAGATAACATTAAATAATTTACTGTTATCTACAAAGCACTGGCCAGTGCACACTGCAGCATTGCAATTGCAGTGTGTGCTGGTGGATTAATGTTATAGTATGGAGTTAATTAGGTTTGCTTCTGAAATAAAGATTTTTTTCGATGGCCAATAAAATTTTGTCATTAAGTGGTATCAATCCTTATTATTAGGAAAACTTATTATGAATATAAAAAGTTATGATTAGGCTACTTAAAGTACTTTCACACTAAAATTAAAAAAAAAAAATTTGAAATGTGAAGTTAATTGATTTGGCTTGTGAATGGCTCAATTAATAGTTTTTTTGGTAAGACTTATATTTAAACAATAATTACCAGTAATATAAATATTATTGTTATAATTAGTGTAATCAATTTAAGAATTAATTGATTTCTATTTATCTATATTGTTTTTTCAGGCTATGTCCAGGGTTTGTGGTGACAAATTAGCTGAATTACATCGGAATGGTTTGAAAAAATGGTCAAGTTTGGATAATATGACTATCCCTCGACACAACACTGCCATATTGTCTTGACATATATTACACATTTGCAGAAGGAATGGATAATAGCTGTATCAGATACTTAGGAAAATCAGGGAGAAACTATAAACTCCAACCAAGTGGCTGTTCCAATGACTAAAACTTTGCTAGTAAAATAATTAAAATTTTCTGCTCAGGAAATGTGGTACCAGTTTTTGCTTGGTACACATATCTTGTCATTGAAGTGAACAATGATTGCAAAATCAAATGATGACATGGATGTATGGATTGGAATCTTGAGTGATTCTACTCATAGTCAATACAAGCTTTCATCTGTGCTGCTTTTTGGTTGTTAGGTAAAGGCAAAATTAAGGCTATTCTTTTATTTTTTGAAATATATTATTATCCAGATAGCTGATTTTAAATTAGAGAGAGAGAATGCTTATATCATTTCTTTTAAAATTGTAGCATTTATAACTAGAAATTTATAAAAAAAAATATATATATACATATATATAATAAAAAAATGTAGGAGGAACAAATGAGGAGAGCTCAATTCTACAATTTATAAATTTTTATATATTGTTTTTATAAATATTAAAAATAACATGATTTTGACTGAAACAGTCATCAGATATCTGGATAATATTGAATAGAAGAAAAAAGTTAAAAATTCTTCCAAAATTATGTCTTCTATTAGGAAAATTTTCAACAAAAACACAGAGTGACTATTTTTTTAAAAAATAATTTTTTATTTGTATTTTTAAGTTAAAAAATTTAATACAAATGTTTAATATTGTAAAAGAGAGTTAACTAGAGTAATGATATAAGATATTCAAGAAAGTATTGGTATGATACAGGGAAGAATTGGTGATACTTTGATTACACTTTTTTATGTAGAATTGTGCTATTCATTTCGATAAAACAGTCACAAAATCATATGGATGGAATATGAATGGATGCTAGGAACTACTTAGATATTATGTACGGCATTCCAAATTGTGACTGTAAAAAATGATTTACATAATGTATATACTTTTCTGTAAAAATTCACCAATCATGTTTAAAATACAAACGTTCTCATACAAGAGCTCTCATAAGAGCTAATATGCTTGCACCTTTTTTAATGTTAATTCTGCCTTTGGTGCTTAGATCAGCATGCTAACGGCATTGTAAAATCTCTTGAAATTTCTCTTTCAAACACAGTGTTCAGTACTTCAGCTTGCATCTTAAAAAATATTAAATGGGACAATTTCAAGATGTTCAGACTTTTTATTCTGCATATTTAATTGGCATCACAAACATTACTCAATAAGCTCAATTGATTTTCTTAACATACATTTAAACTTTTTTAAGAATAAATTTTTAAGAATGAAATTTAATGTTTTTGACAATTGCAAGTTGATCATATTGATTGTTAGAAAAACCTATGTTCATGCAGATTTATTAGCTATTTTCTATTTGAACAACAGCAATCTTACAAATTGACAGAACATGATTTCTTTACAATCTATATGTTTTTATGTAAACATTAATTCTTTAAAACTAAATTTACAGGAAAATTTAACAAAAATTGAAAATAGAACTACTCAGATAATTATATGAAATATCTATAATGTTTAATCTTTAGATAAAAATGACTGAAAATTAATATATATATTAAGAGAATTATTTTTTATCATTTTAATTAAGATTTAAAATCATTAATAACAAGATATTAAAAAAAGTGAAAAACAATTTGAATTGTTTTTAATTAATTTTGAGACGCCTTCTGATCATTTAAATTAAAGTATTAAATATTTTAAAATTATTTTATAATTGAATTATTTAGTAGTTATGTAGATAATAATACTTAAAGCCCAAAACACTTAATGAATGAAATTAATACTAATTAAAATATTAATTTTATGATTTATACATTATTATTAACAATTTAGAGGATTTAAACAAATGACATATTAAAGGGTTTAGATTTAGCTTTTCAATGTTATTTTATTAGCATTGTTAATTTTATATGAATGTAATCGATTAACCTTTTATCTTTCACATGCACATAGCTTGGAGATACATTCTCTTACTTAACATTTTAGTATTTTTATATTAAAGTAATTTTTTAAATCCTCTTTAATTGTACATATATTTATTTATTTTTTTTTATATTTTGAATTTGTTCAAATTATTCTTTTGTACTTAAAAAAAATTTTATTATCTATTAATGGTTAAACATATTTTATATATTTAAATTAATTAAATTCAATTACTATAAACTAGGAAAATCATAAATAGTTCAGAGTAATTTATATAATTAATGTCAATGTATTGATATAAAATAAAATCGATAATTTTTATACATATGAAATAGTTCTAAAATATACTTAAAAAGAATATTATTACTTTGTTTGGAATTTAAGAATGTACAGTACAATAGAGCAGGGGTGGCCAACCTTTTGCATACCATGCGCCAATTTTTTGATAGACGAGTTCACATGCGCAGTGGCGTACCATGAGTGTTAGCAGCCCGGGGCGGAGAAAAATTTCGGCCACCCCTTATTTAAGTATTTCAATTTATAAGACGAAAATTCAGATTTGCCAAAGAACAAGCAATGAAAAATGTGGTTGTAGTGTAGCTACCCGTATAAAATAGTTCTGTATGACATCAGTGGTGTACATGAACACGAATGCATCGTGTAATGTACAAGCAAAAAAAAAAAAAAAGGTCAACAGGTTGATTGCACCGAATTGTGTGGGAAATACACTTGCCAAGACACACTGTAAAAAATTAATTTCCTATGTAATGAAGCCAAATCTGGCACTGTTGCTCGGAACCGACTGAAGCGCCACTTGTATTCCTCCAGTGCGCCAAGTTTTGACCACCCCTGCAATAGAGCCTTTAATTACTGAAAGTATAAAAATTTATAAGTGCGCATGTATGTGTTATACACAAACATTTTTTTTCTTTTTCAAAATAATTAGCTCCTTTTATTTTTTAATAATGATAAAAATAAAATATTTTAAAGCTAGTTGAATGAAGTTGAAATTTGTATAATTATTTTAAAGTTAAAATTACAACAAACATAAATCAATTTTTGCACTACTGTAACAATATCAATAATCTGTATATTTCACATATACACTTTCACTTGGTTTCACTAAAGTTACTAATATGGTAATTATTATATTTAAAATGAATAAATATTAATTTTAATATTTCCTACATAGAATATGAAAGTGATAAAAACTTTTTATAATTATTTGGATAGTTGAATCCATTTGAAATGAAATTTAACAGTGATTATAAAATATGATTGAATTAATTCATAAAAATCCATTATATAAAATTTTACTGATACTATTAAAAAATGGGGGGCAAATACTGTAAACAGTTTGCTGTGTATAACTTTTTCATCTTACAACTGTTCTCTATTAGAGGGTGGTGTTTATACCAAATTTATTCAATAATAGTCACAATTAATATTAAAACAGCCAAGTTTTTCCTATAACTTATTTTACAGCATCAAAGTTACATCCAGTCTACTGGGTAAATGCCAATTCAGTTTTACAAGAAGTTATGCTAATTAGTGTTTGTTCTAAAAATATACACTAATCTTGTATTATTTATAAATGTTTTTCTTTAATTACATGATCTATCCTGTGTTCAAATACATATATGTTCATAATATTCACAGCTATTCTGTTCTTTGGAAATTGTGTGTGACTATTAATGGAATAAATTCAGTAACTTGTTTTCACTTTATGATTATTTTAACTTGAACAGCAATGAAACATTTAAACTATTTTAACATATGGTAAGAAATATATTTCTGTATGTCTAACAAAATTTCAGTAGCAGTGGCAATACTAGGTATGATATGCAGTTTCTCAGTTTATAAGTCTTATCATCTTACAATAGATAAAATATTTATTATTAGAGGATACTGTTTATTAGAATAAATACAGTAAATATGTGAAAATTATGAAGAAATTTAAATAGAAGATAAATATAATATTGTCTATACAGCTTACTTTTTAGATTTAAAAATATGCTTTTAAATAGGAATTTAATATTTTAAAATTATTTTCATATACTTTATTTATAATAAAACAATCAGTTCTCTTAAATATATATATACTTTATTAGATAAAATATGAATAAAATTCTCAAAAATACAAATTTATTAAGAGAAGTAATAAAAAGAGGATTAATTTCAGATGGAAATATCAACAGTTTTGAAATGGAACATTTAAATTATTTTTTGGTTTTATTTATTATGTAACACTCATCATCAAAACATATATCGTCATAAAACTTCCTTATCAGTTTGAACTTCATTTCAGCAATTAGGTAAGTCATATTCTGTAATCAAAATTATTTGTTATTAAAATAATATAAAAATAAGGTACAATAATTTAATAGCAAATATCAAAAGATACTACACAAGTAACAATCTACTATGCTGTTTTTGAGTTATTTAAATATATTAACAATTAACAAAAATATACAAATTGTTTCTATATTTTGAAATATGGAAACAATTTGTTATATATGTAAAGTAATTATTATGTTTAAATCTTGAACTTGTCAAATTCAGTTTGTTTTGCATTACATTTTTTTTATTTTATTTTTTTTTTGTTGATAAATTTACAAATTTGATAATGTTCAGCAGTTTAGCTTATGCTATTCAGTTTGTTTTGCATTACTTTATTTTTATTTTATTTTTTTTTTGTTGATAAATTTACAAATTTGATAATGTTCAGCAGTTTAGCTTATGCTATAAATTTATCTTGTAATTGTTTTTATGTAATGATTACAACAATACATGACTATAGTATCGTAATTTTATAACTTTTTAAAATCATTATTTAGGATGATTATTTACTTAGTACTCAAATGCACTACAAATCTTTTTGTATGCTGTTTTGTTCCATTAAAGCATTTTTATAATGTTTCAAACATTTTAATTTTAGAATGTAATGAGATATGTAATTGATTATAGTAGGTTTACTATCTCATTTTATTTTGGATTAATTGGTAGTCAGGTAGTACCGTACCATGTCAGGTTCATGTGATTGAATGATTTTTATGTCACAAATCAGAAAACTCATTAAAATTCTGTGATGAATTTTCTTTGGTTGAATGACTTCTTTCAGCTCATTTCTTTTTATTGTTGTCTACTGCATATTAAAGAAAATGCAGTTTATATACAATTTATAATAGGAGTACTCAAAGACTGTAAGCATTCTTGCAAACATATTCTTTCATGACTTCATTAAGTGTTTCTTAGTAAGGCAATCAGAGTTTATAGTGTTTAATGTCACAGTCCATAATTTTAGTATAATAAATAAATAGAAATTTTTTTCAGTGTTTGGAGAAATTAGTGTTGTTAGGGATAATCGGATGGACTGAGAACAAGTTAGAATTTTCTCATATTTTTTGCTATTTCAATTTAACTTATAAATTGAAACACAAAGGAAAAACAAATGCACTAACATTTTTAGTTAATTAGATGTCTTTAGGCATTGAAAAATCATGTTATGTTTCTTATTATATCCTTTTTTTTAATGTTGATTGTACTTCCATTTCATTCTTACATTAATGCCCAATATCTGTGGCAATGCCATTTGGTCATGCTTTGAGTTTTATACCTGAAGATAATTGATTAACCAAAAGCAATAGCATACTGTATTTATTTTTATTGTGTTATTTTAAAGTAAGTAGTTTATTTCTATTTGTATTTAATTTGAAATATTTGATTATCATGCATATACTGTATATATTCTTTATAGTAAACTAGAGCACCTGTTACCAGTTTAGTCACTTACTGCTAAAAATTTATAAAGAATAGATGATACTGTATGATAGATAATAGTAGTGTTTTATAGATGTGTAACACCTCAGCATATCTCATTTTATAGATTCCCCTCAAAATAAACCTTGGATCATCTCGGGTTTTAATCTTAGTCTTGCAAGACAAGGTGTGAGCTGATGCTGTAACCTGTGGCATGAAGAGCATTTTCTAAAATATATGCTAAGTGACATTATATGAACTGATAACATGCACATTGGGGGTAATGCTCATACTCAGTTGTTATTACTTGTTCTTATATTATTTTTATATATGTTTTACATACACATCTTTATATTTTCATTTATTTATAACTTCCAAAGATCTGGCTATCAACATTTGAAATATTTATTCTAGAATGTTTTAAAAATTTTTGTTCTATTCAAATGCAACTGACATTTGATTTGTATTTTTTCCTGAGTAAGGTTGGTAAGATACAGATGAATATGTCAAATGGTTTAGAAGTGTATAGAGGACAGCCATTCTATTTTGTATATATTGTATAAATAAATTTTAAATGATTACAACTCTTATCTAAGTTATAATCAAATTTATCATTATATACTACTATATCCTCAACCCGGTTGGTCACCTAATACTCAGAAGTTAGAGAATGCAAGATAATACCAAAATTAACTCACCAGATGATTTAAGTATAGTTATAAGACAGTAATTGATGACTAAAATGATATCAGCAGAATGCACAGCAATAACTCAATAATCCATTGCTCAATTTTAGCAAAACTTGTTTTGTTTCTATTCTCA